AGCAGCAGTGCGCAGGCGAAAGCCAAACCCAAGACCAGAACCGAAGCGGCCGGCCGGCCGGGCGACGCACCAGTGACTTTACCGCAGCACTCGCGCGTGTACGTGACATTGTTCATCTTGGCCTGGACCTGGAAGACGGAGCCCTCGGGGTCGCCGTAGTTGTAATAGTCCACATTGAGAATCTTTGGCGGGAACCCCCAGTCGCGGGTGCAGTTCTGCGCCGCGCCGCCGAGGGAGCCGTTGCCGGTGGCGTTGTTCGTCGAGTTCAACAGCGAAACGGCGGGTACGAGGATGGAGGCCCCGAAAATGTTGTACTCGGCGTTGAGGTTGTGGTTCATGAGGTAGAGGCGGTCGCGGGCGGCTTCCTGCGACAGGTCGGGCGGGCGCTGGACGGTGCAGGGGAAGGTGCGGTCCATGGGGTCAAAGGGGCTCTCCCACATTTGGGAGAACTCGTCGAGGAGCCAGGGGAACTTTTGCTGGTCGGCCATGTAGTCCATGAACATGACGACGCGCTTGCCGCCGAGGATCATCTGGGAGAGGGTGGGCCAGTCTTCGAGGCGCATGGGGAGGTAAGGGGGTTGGTAGGCGTATTGGAGGATTCCGGTTGACTCGATGAAGGGGGCGTACAGGTCGGGCGTGGAGTAGTTGCCGTTGCCGAGGAGGATGGTGACGACGTCGTACGGGTGAGAGGCGACCCATTCGCGGACGGTGGTTAGCCATTCGGTGATGGGACCGACTGTGGTGTATGTTAGCTGCGGCTCTGCAGGTGATGAGGTTATTCATAGGGGAGGAAACGTACCATCGAGGATATCACAGGAAGAATGGCAAAAGTGCGGTACTGTGCCGTTGGTGGGCCACTGGATCTGGGCCTGGAGGAAGCGGATGCCGTCGTTGAGCTGGTTCGTGACATCGAGAGCCTGGTTGGAGGCCGAGTTCCCGGGGCGTACAAAGGGGGAGTTGTGGCACCCGACCTCGGTGACGTTGCTGTACTTGCGGTCGCAGAACTCAACATAGTTGTTGCAGGGCTGGGTGTTTGTCGGGGCGGCGGGCGCGGTCTCGCTCTGGGTGGCATTGGCATCGGAGCCGGTGATGGTGGAGGTGACGACGGAGGTCTGGCCCGAGATGATGACGACGGACTGGCCGACGGAATTCGTCGTGGTCTGGGTGACGTTGCCGGTGACCGTCATGGTCCCGGTCATGGTGGAAAGATCACCATTGGTGAGGGTGATTCTCGAGGTGTAGGTTGCGTAGGGGCCCGTTGGCGTCCTAGGCTGGGTGACTGCGACTGTTTTGGTTCCCGAGAGAAAGGTCACGTCGTCGGTGTTGGAGAGGGTGAAGGTGCTCGTGCTGACTTGATCCTGACCTGCGGCTTGAGCTGTGAAGAGGGATAGAAGCCCGAGAGAGAGGGCAAAGAGAGGTCCTGTCATGCTGGGCGAGGCAGCCTCTCTGGGGAGGACTTTGTTGGTGGATTGGCCGCGAGAAAGAAGGGAAAGTTGTGGTGTTGTTTCCCGAGTGTATGGTAAGGTTGGGGAGGGGGGGGTTTGGTTGTCGGGCTCGAGATGGGTTGTATGTTATTCGAGGTCTGGGAGTCTGGGATGGCAAGCAACGACGCAGTGACCACGGTGCGCCCCTCGGGGAAAGAAATTGAGTTGGGCGAGGGACGACGGGAGAACGGGAGACAGAAGTCAAAAAACGGTTATCGGACGAGGAGAGTTTCGATGACGATCCCCAAGCAAATACCGCCGAAAAAAAAGCAGAAGCACGCTAGGGTATCTAGTATAAAGGCGTTTGTTCTTCTCGTGTCGTGTCTTTGCTCTTCGTCACGCACGGCAGAGGCGGAAGGTTGAGATTTCACATGAGAACATGAGAGGAAAGGTGCGCTTCGCTGCCAATGTTGCGCCAGCGGTAACGAGAGTCTAGAGGCTGACTATTTTCCTTGGACTTTGGGTGCCAATTGTCAAGACTTCGGACCAAAAGTTGAAGCCCCGTTTTGGCTATGACATAATATTTGTGTATTTTCTTCCTCGTTTTTCCTGGGGTGGCCCAGACATTTCTTTCTCCGTCTGGATGCAGCTTGCCTTGAGGCTTGGAGGGGGGAGTGGGGGGTGGCCCAGGGCCCATACGGCGCTACCGCCAAACTGGCAGGGGTAACGGCCCCATTTAGTGGATACCAGGAGCACAAAGCCCCATTGAGACGACCCACCACCACCGGAAGCTGCTGCGAGGATCGCTGGGGGATGTGCCGGGACCCTGCTGGTCATCTCATCGGCAGCTCCAGCTCGACAGGGTCACGCAGTCATGTCACTGCACTCTCTCTATCACATTTGAGTAAAACAGCAGCCAGGTGACGGTGACTGGCATGTCGAGAGGGTTGTCAAGAGACTGAAAAACATTGATTGGAAGCCCCCCCCCAACAACACAACCATATATGGGCAGCAGATCAAGTCATGGACGCGCCGTTCCATCTTATCCGTACCTACCTGGGTAGCAGCGTACCTAGGTACTGCATATCTGCGGCTGTGGCTTGCGGCAAAGGACAGCGCAGAAGCCATGGACCAGGGCCTATACGGATATCCCTGGCGATCACCGGCTCCTGTGCCGGCGTGGCGGAGACTGGGACGCGCGTGCAGGATGGCCCTGCGTTTGTCCTGTTGCCGCTACGGAGTTCTTGGAATCAAGAAACCCAAAGGTTCATCATGTTTGCAAAAACAAAACCCCGGAAAGCTGAAAAGGAATAGGGTCATCGATGACCATCATAATGCGGCTGAGAGGAAGATCAGGAAGATGGAAGAGGGAAGAAAAACAGAGTTTTAGGCTCAACACTTGCCGCCCATCCTCATTTCGTTTGTTTAGGTCAAGACATCTGGGTCCTGCTGGGATCGTGTTCTCCGTACCCTTGGAAGTTTGTTGGATGCTACGACGGGGAATTTTAAAACTATTTCTGTATCCATAGTACTCCGTAGTCCCTGAAGAGAAACACCTCGACACCCCTCCGTGGGCCGCACTCCTTGGACTAGCAGCAGCAATGAGTATTAACTTTTCAAAGTGACGAGCAATATACACGGATTTCTGAATACTCCGTACATAGGAACAGCCAGGAAGATCAAAGATGCAGGACAGGACAGGACAGGGCGGCACGGGGGGACATCCGTACGGGGCCCGGGAGTCGGGTCGATGGTGCAACAAGGAGAAAGCGGTCCCAAGGTAGGTACCCTACGATCCACCCATTGGAATCTCATTTCACACAGCCGGCGTCTGCGCACCTGGTTTGCTGAAGCCTCATGGTCGTGGTCTGCTATTGTTGGGTCGTTGTTGTTGTGGTTATTGCATTTAGAGTGGCTTGCCGAACTTCCTTTTCTCTTAGTAACCGCTGTCAACTGTGATGATCCCACTTCAGCTGGGGAGGGCTACAGATCCTACAGAATGATACAGATCGCCCGCCACGGAGAGTGACACAACGGCCCGGTTGGCTGGACTCGTCGAGGCTTGGAGGCGGTGCTGGATGGGGATGGGGGGTGGTTGCGGGAATCCGTACGGGGGGCGCGCGACCTCGTTTAGACGGCCCCTCGGGACCCGAAACTGAAAGCCATTGGATCTCCATCATCCTATTGTGGACGGAGAATGGTACTGACGTACGGAGTACGGGTTATCTGGTCTCGCGGTGGTGCCATGGGACTTGATGTTTCTCTTCGTCTTGCAGCCCCGAGACGAGGGGAGGGGGATCATGGCTTTGCTGCAGTGAGCTGTAAGGTTATCGACTACTGTACTCTGTTGTCTGTGCCGTCACTTGAGAGTCTGTGTTGTTCATCCACTGACTTGAAGAAGTTTTCTCCGTGATAATAGATGAGTGACTGTGAGTCTGTGACAGACGAAATGGAGATGAACGAGAGCTTGGAAACATGGGGTGGATGGACCCCACCGCACAACCAGGAATACCTCACGCCCAGTCCCACTACGGACCCCACTAGCCGTGGCGCGCCGCTAGCAAAAAAAAAAAAAAAAAAACGCTGGGATGATCCAATGCAGAAAACCTGCAGAAAACCAGCAGTAGCAGCAGCAGCAGCAGCAGCAGGAAGAAAGGAAAAAAGAGAGAAGGGAAAAAAAAAGATATTGGTTGCTACGACGTCATTCTCCCTGTCCGATTGTCAGTGACCCCCTGGAACACCTGGGCCATCCTCAACCTCTCCTGTGAGCTTACCCCCCGGAGAACAGCGATACGCCTGGGTTTATGCCAACTCAGACCCGTCCCGCTCGGTTGATCCTCTCTCTCGTCTCTCTTTCTACGGAGCAAGGTAATTGTCTATCCATCCACGTTTGGCTCCGGTGTCTTGGCCCTGCTTCTGCCTTGAGTCTTGACGCCCTGTCCGTATTTACCAACCACCAGGGCTCCAGAGGCCAGGGGGTTCGCTCCATCGAATCTATTGTCCCGGCCTGGCCTGGTCTGGAATCATTTGTTTTGTTCTTTCCAATCTACCAGACCAAAAATTGCCGTGTGGACTCGAGCTAGCCTTCCTGACGCTCATCGTCATTATCCGTCTTTGGGCCTTCTTTGGCTTCCCGATTCCTCCCCGCTCCGCCAACCTTTTTGCACACGTAGGGCCGATTCCCTCTTTCGCGCAAGAGCCCCTTACCTAGCTTGGGACGCCTTTTTTCCCTTGGATTACGGACGAGTGTTCTTGAGCACCTACGGCCGCGCCTAGATAGCTCAACACGTCGAATCCCCCGAGTCTCTGATCCCCTTTTTTTTCGTCACCTCTCCGGACCATCGGCATTGGTAGAGAGAGAGCTCTGGGTAACTTACCGCGTCATCTTGCCCTCGCCAACACACACATACGTGAGATATCTGGGGAGAGAGGAACCGATACTCCGTATACCGCGTACTCCATCAACCCCAGGTCCCAGTATCTGGTGCCACGTCCGCCCTCCCACTACGACCTCAATCCTCCTCCTCCTCCTCCTCCTCTTCAAGGCTGCTCAACCTTTGAATACCGAACCTCACGATGGCCAAGGTCCGCCGAAACAGCGCCATCACGGCGGCCGTCTGCTACTTCATCGCCATCATCTTCCTCATCCTCGTCATCATCGGCAACACCTCCATCAAGCCCGTACTCACTGACATTTACTTCTTCAAACTCGATGTCTCCGACATCATCCCTCTCTCCTCGGCCAACGCCGTCCTCCTCAACTCCGTAGCGCGTAGCTTGGGACTCCACGACTTTTACCAAGTCGGTCTCTGGAACTTTTGTGAAGGCTACAACGATGAGTGAGTGTTCCCAGCTGTCTCAAACCACACGCAGAGCTTCAGGAACGTAACTAACACACAATCACCCAGGGGCGTCACGTACTGCTCAACACCCCAGCGGATGTGGTGGTTCAACCCCATCGAGATCCTAACCAACGAGCTCCTCGCCGGCGCCACCATCGCCCTCCCCTCCGAGGTCAGCACCATCCTCAACATCCTCCGCATCGGCCAGCAGGTCATGTTCGGCCTCTTCATCGCGGGCATCTCCCTCGCCGCCGCCCTCCTCATCGTCACCCCGCTCGTCATGCGCTCGCGCTGGTGGAGCCTCCCCATCGCCATCTTCGCCGGCCTCACGGGTCTCCTCGTCACCGTCGCCTCCATCATCGGCACCGTCATGAGCGTCGGCGCCAAAATCGCCCTCACCCAGCAGTCCGAGCTCAACATCAACGCCGTGCTCGGCGTGCGCATGTTCGTCTTCATGTGGCTCGCCAGCGCCCTCGTCGATTTGGCTGCTATTCTTCACATGGCTATGGGCTGCTGCTGCTCTCCTAGGAAAGAGAGGGAGGCTGCTGCTGCTGCTGGTGCCGGCGGGGCGAACGGTACGCCGGAGAAGACGACCAACACGACCGAGAGCGGGGAGAAGTCGTCGAGGTTGCCGGCTTTTATGAGGAAGCGCAGCCCGAGGTCGTCGACGTCGTAAATAATGTTACATGGGGAATGTCGTCATTTCGGGGAGCCTAAAGGAATATCGGCGAGGTTTGGCGTTGCCATACCATTGTACAACCTCTCTCAAATGGTTGTACGCAGGTGGTGCGTGCTACGTATGGTTATGCAGATGAATCATCGACATCAGCCGCATGAGGGACCCCGAACTCGACAGGAACAAAGGATTTGAAATTGAGCAATGGCGTTGGTGGATTGCGGTTTAATCGGATGACCATGACAATAGACTTTTGGCAGACGGGATAGTCAAGTAGAGACGAACAACCACGTTCGGCAGATTAGCATAGTTTTTTTTTTTCTTCCTCTTCACTGGCCAGATAAGTAATCCTTATTACCGAATGCACAAATCATACGAGGTTCGTGAACCCTTGAACAGGATACGTTCAATAATCATCTTGAGACTGCAGGTTCACAAATGATATAAATGTACAACTCTGCAGGATGTAAGGAAAACCTAAAGCTCACAACGTGGTGAAAATGATGCAATGTACTTTCCCCGCAGCGTAGTCCGGGGTAGCAAGCAAAGTACCCCTTATCGGGGGCGGACGCGCCCTCGGCCTAGACCCCTCCAAATGACCGTGAGCCTCGGCTCGTTCTTTTATCGCGACTGGGGGAAGCTCAGACGACCGACAGCTCGCCTCTCTTCACTCACATCAGCCGAAGAAAGCTCCTGTACCCTTGTCCCCCTTTCTTCTACATCTACGTTTCGCAGTCCTCTTTGAACACGACTGGGTTGTTTCCAAATTGTCAATTGACCTTTCTCAAAGCAAACTACTGTACCAACTCAGCATCTATCTCGAAATAGTAAGAAATCGGCAACAATGGATGTCGCATCGCTTTTCAACGTCAAGGTACCCATAGCTCCCTCCTCCTCCTCCTCCTCCTCCATTCCCAGGTCCATCACATACAGAAAGCTAACCTCCCCCTCTCCAACAGGACAAAAACGTCCTCGTCACAGGCGGCGCAAAAGGAATAGGCTACATGATCTCAGAAGGCTACATCACAAACGGCGCAACAGTCTACATCTCCTCCCGCGACGCCAAAGCCTGCTCCGCCTCCGCCGCCGCCCTCACCGCCAAGGGCCCCGGCAAATGCCACGCCATCCCAGCCGACCTCCAAAAGCTAGACGACTGCAAGCGCCTCGTCGACGAGCTCGCCCGACAAACGGGAGGGAAACTCCACGTCCTCGTAAACAACTCGGGCGCGGCGTGGGGCGACGCCTTTGAAACCTACCCCGACGCCGCCTGGACGAAACTCTTGACGCTGAATCTGCAGCGCGTCTTCACCCTGACCCAACTCGCTGCGCCCTTGCTCGAGTCCGCTGCTGCTTCTTCTCCGTCTGACCCGTCGCGCATCATCAATATCGGCAGCGTAGACGGCCTCCGCGTCCCGCTCATTTCGAGTTTTGCCTACAGCGCAAGTAAAGCGGGACTGCACCACCTCTCGCGCGCGCTGGCGAGGGAACTGGGACCCAAGGGCATCACGAGCAATACCCTCGCCTGCGGCCCCTTTGAAAGCAAGATGATGGCGGCGACGCTCGAGACGATGCGCGATACTATTGAAGAAGAGATTCCGATGCGGAGGATCGGTACGCCGCAGGATGTGGCGGGCGCGTGTTTGTTCTTGAGTGGACGGGCGGGTGCGTTTGTGACGGGGGCCACTATTACCGTTGATGGTGGTATTGTGTTGGCTTCCAAGTTGTAAGCTAGGAGAGGGAAGGGGGGCTTGTTGTGATGAATGTAGAAATATGTAGAATGAGAAATCGTATAAAGGCCATGGTTCACTTCTCAGCTCAGGCTTATCGTGAAAATTGCGAAAAGAGACGTGATGGCGAATCGCGGTTGATGATGGCAATGTCACATTACAACTGCAATCTGGAACACACAAAGAATATCGGAAAAGACCAGATAGACTGGCCATATTTCTTTCTAAATGAAAACGTGTAAAGCAAGATCTAGGTAAGACCATGTGTCCTCCTCAGTGGTATTCATACAGGAAAAATATGGTAATAAGAATGGTGAGCGGAATCCAATTCAACCGGGTCGTGGTAGATGCCCGAGGTCCCTTCCCTCCCAAAACGCCGTGTTAAGTCGTGTCCTTTCCAAAGTAGTGTGATATCAAAACGAAATTCCCCGCAATGCAATGATGCCCTCCCATTTGTCCGTATACGCCAGTTGTTGTGAAAGTGTAGTGTGGTTGTGTGTGTGTGTGTGTGTGTGTGTGTGTGTGTGTGTGTGCGTGTGTGTGTGTGTGTTTATCATGAAGAAAAACCCCCCAATGAGATGAACCCGATGAGATGCCCCTTTGTCTATCCCCGCCTCTAATCACCGAGAAGAAATGCGAAACGGATAGAGTTCCCCAGAGACTTCAATGTCGATTAAATGTGTGTGTAGCGAGCGGGAGAAGAATAAAGCGAGTGAGAGAAGAGGAAAAGAGTTGAACCGAGGAAGGCCACTTCAGCGACTGGATCCGGTGAGGGCACGAGCTTGAGGGGAGAGGCGAGTCCAGTGTCGGTTCGGTATGAACACGGCAAACTCTCTCGCCCTCCTCCCCTCTGCCCCGACTTCGCGGAACGTTGGCGCGGTGCCTCGGTTTCCCTCTCGGCCCCGTAACTGCGTTTCAGCGGGGTCCTCTCATCCGATAAAAACTCGGAAAATTCGTCCTCAAAATGACGGTCTGAGCCAGTTGGAGAAAGCTTCCCGGGACGTCGGGGAGAGCTCATCGCTTTCGGACTCTTTCGTGACGAACGAAATGCTCTCACGTCTATGACAATCCGCAAGACTCAAAGTCGCGCATCATGACGGCCATCTGGGCACGTTTCGCGGCCTCGGCGACGAGGGTGAAGTCACGGAGGAAGGCCTCGGTTGAAGGGGGTTGCTGGCCGTTGGGTTGAGGTGGCGCCATCATTTGGTTTGTGGACATGTGCGACGATGAGGAGGAGATGGAGGACGTGGAGTCCTGGCGCTTGGGGGACTGAATTGGTGCGTTCATGGTGGGCGGGCGTGTGATGGGTGTTGATGGTTATCGAGGTTGTGTAGCGGTGGTGATAAGATTCCCTCGATGGCGAGAGAAGAGTTGGAGTAGATATGCGAGTGTGGGATGGCAAATGCGTAGGGCCAGGAACCAAGGTCCGAGAAGGGGGCGATGGATGGTTGGTGGTATTATATTCCCCAGATCTTCGAATTCGGAGCGCTGATCTTGACTCTTTATGTGAGACCCCAAAAGCACAGGTACCTGATAAGTAGGTGATGTCAGGCGGGGGGAGGTGGAGGAGGGAGAGGGAAATGCGGGATCAAGAAGCTAGGAAGAGTGGAATGGGAAAAGTCCGACAAAAGCGAACGTGCGGAAGATCCCTTTTTGTGAAAAGGATAGTCGACGGTGAAGTGCGGAGTAGACACGAAAAGTACGTGTGTGGTGTCTGAGATTTTTTTTTTTTTTTTTTGCAAGATCAAGTAACGAGTAGGCGGGAATGCCGTGAGGCGTGGGGTGTGTGGGTGAGGCCGGCGGCTGGTTTAAAGTGATCGTGGGACGACCCTGGGTTGTCGGTGACAGGCTATAATTGCGGGACCGCTTGTCTTTGCTTGCAACAATATTGGATAGGCAATATTGGAATTCGGCGCGATTGCGGATTACCAACCCTTGCTCCGGCAGCGGGTAACAAGCCAAACGAGTCGGTGGATAGATTGAGCGAGCGAGCGAGTGAGTGAGAGGCAGATAACCGAGCGGGATGCAGGCCAAGTTTCTCTTTCTCTGTTTTGGCAAAATAGAGAGAGAGAGAGAGAGAGGGAGAGACGGAGAGAGGGATCGCAGCAGAAGTGAGACAGGTAGAAGGGGGATCGGCGATACCACAGTCAGGCGCGGGAGGGATGTTGCGACTCTTATGTGTGGGATATCGTTCGAGTGTGTAGCAGCTGAGCCAGGCCTGGGAGACAGAATAAGGCGAGTGTGAGTCGGTAGTCGACGCGGGCTTGCGTAGGTATGCGGGATGGTGTGGGTAGCAGCAGCAGCGTTTCCTTGCTCGAGGGTATGTAGGATCTTGAGCCGAAAGAAGGCTGGAGCGAGTAGTCTACTGTGTAGAGGACAGACAGCTCGTGCGGGTTTGTGTGGGTGTGTGAGTGATGATGTGATGGGCTTGTCTTTGATTGGGGTTGGTTCGCGGCTTGTCCAGTTGACTTGCTTTTGATCCAGACGAGGAGCGTGGGTGGGTGTGGTTGAACAATTAAAAGTGTGGGAGGAATGTGGGAGGGATAGGATAGATGTGGTAACTGGCCAGGAAAAGTACCTGAGGTGGACGAGTCGAGAGGATAAAGAATATCAAGAGTGTGTGTGTGTGTGTGTGTGTGTGTGTGTGCGAGAGTGTGTGTCGTCTGCTTTCCCATCTACCGACGCAAGACCGAGATGGCTGTCCGGGTTGGGTTATTTACTTTGCCAAAGTAAGTACACACGGATACGGAGAGTAGCCGCGGTTGGAGAATCCATCTTATCTCCAGTTCTTTTTTTCCTCGCTCTCTTCCTCTGCTCAGCGGGGGGAGAGGGTAGAAAAAAAAAGAGGGACGATACTCCGTTCGTCTTCACGTTATTTCCCGCCGTCTAATCCATGACGCTCAATGCCCTGGACCCGACCAACTCCTGGGAGCCGCGATAATAGGTCCGAAGATGGAGGTGGAGAGAGAGAGTGTGTGTGAGTGAGTGAGTGAGAGAGAGCTTGGTATGACGCCAAACCGCCGTCTGCATGGTTTCCTTCTTTCTCTCCCACGGTTTCTTCACCTGTCGTACCGCCTCGGCTTCCTCTATTCGCATCGTCAAGGAGACAACGACGCGTGCTTATCCATCATCCCCAAGAGACAGCAAGGCCCAGCCAGATCAACACCCAGCAGCCTGCTTGATGTTTGCCATTGCGGGGGGTACTTGCAGAGGCACAAGCGTCAGGCGTAAAGCCTCGCGGTAAACGTCGCCAGAAGCAGTAATTGAGGACCTCCATGTGCCAAGTATCCGTACATCTTCCCCCATCTTGGGCGGGGAGAAAGGGGATTTGCACCCTCGTCTCACGACTCAGGAAAGGCCAAAAGGCTTTCAGGGTCTTTGCGGATCAGCGGCTCGAGCGACCGCAGCGACCGCAGTGGCAGGTTCGGAAGAACACGCTCACAGTGCTTGACAGGGACCACAGGGTGGAATGGGCAAATCCTGAGCGGCGGCAATGGAGGAGAGGTCGGCCTTCTCGCCGTCAAACGTTTCGCAGTGTGGGGTAGGTAGGTATCCGTAGAGCCAACTCTTCAAAAAGGCAGCATGTCATGGTGCGGCGTGCCCTGGAGCTGGGGGCAGGTTGGCACAATGGGCCTGGGCTGGACGCATGGGGGTGGCCTCCGCTCTCCTATGACCCCATGTATCGGTACCTGCGTGTGTCTGCTTTCCCTTGATGCGCCGTCAGCGAGAGACTCTGGGCCGTTTCTCCGCATTGTACTGGATCGCATCAAACCGCCCCCCTGGCTGCGTGATCCTGGGAAAGAAGCTCAAGAGCCAATGCACGGAAGCCCTGCCTCGTTCGATTTCGGCCTAGGACGAGGGAGAGAACAGCCCGACGATGACATGCTCTGCTCCACTTGGGGAGGACCAAGATTGCGCTATCCGTACCAGCCTAGGTAGGTATGTATGCCCATGTCAATCAAGGCCCATCCATCATACAGTAAGGCGGATATTGGCGTGCCCTGTTGCGGAATGTCTTTCCTCTCTGGCGTATGGACGGATTAATGACTGAGAGACGCAGGCGGAAGCGGACGATGTGATGCGATGCGGTGCGAGATACTCGATCACAGGCTCGAGCAGGATCATGTAGTATCCCGCCCCGGAGGATTGTCGTAAAAGATGGTAAGAGTAGACCACCACTACCAACTACCTAGGTAACAAGCCATATGGTAGGTAGAGTAACGACTGTGCGTGCTGCTGCTGCTGCTGTTCGAATACCATCCACAAGCCTCAAGGCAAGGTGAGGTGGTTTCGCGGTGCTGGGTTGATGCGGGCTGAACTCTATCTTGAACGGGATTGCGGGGGAGAACTCATGGAGGGGGGGAAATCACAAGCCTCGACTTGTTTCCAAGTTCCAACATTTGAGCAACACAAAGAGAATAGCCGGGGAATCTGCGAGCGACCTCAAAACTCAAAACGACGGAATGTCTGGTGGCTCCTGATTCAACACGCCTCTTTTTGCTTGTGATTCCCCTTCCTGCCCCTCTGCCTTGCCCCATTGATCCCCATTGATCCCAATAATGGTGGCTGAAGCTCTCCGTCCTCGTCACCTCTTGCCTCACTTTCCGAGAGTTGGCTGTGCGCAAGGGCAGTTGACGTATCCGTAAAAGACTTTTCTCTCCTCCTGTGCTCCGTCCGTTGCGTGGATACTCACGTAAGGCAATAAACCTGGGGCTGGAGAAGTGGCGACGGTTGTTGTTGGCAGTATGGAGTCTGATGGACCAAGTTCAAGACCAACACTTATCACCGAGAGCCACGAGAATCCTAGGAGGTGCCGGCTTCGGTGGAGACATGTGAAGAAAGACCGAACGATGTTGACGGCGCATCCGTTTTCTCTGTGGCACTCCAGGCTTTCCACCCCACACACAGCTCGCCTTAGCTTTTTTTCCTTCGTCTTGGTCGACCGTCGAACGCGCATGTCCGCCCCTCCGTCGCTTGGTTTTCCGACCTCGCTTCATCCTAGCGGCATACTTGCCGTCTGGGGGACCCTCTGGGTAGTGGGCTTTGGTCTCAAGCAACGGAAAATCTCGGGACGGAGATCTCCCACGTTCGAAAACGTGTCCCGCTTTGAAAGGGAAAAATAAAAAAAACTGCTTTCCCCACGGCTGCCCCGCCAAAACCGTCTCGCTGAGTTGCTCCAGCCAAACGCGAGGCTTCGGAATACCTTCGGCATGAGAATCCCCCGGGAGGTTGAAGGGCTGGTTACACAGCCGTGGCAGGATGATGCTGTTGTTGGACCACTCTCTTCTGATCCAAGGGCGAGAATCACGCAATGCCCATGTGACGGAGAATGGCGACTTTTTCTTCGTGCCCTGATGCCTTTGGCGTATCCGTACGGAGCATTGTCTTTTTCTTCTTTTTTGATTTATCCAGCATTGATCGGGATCCTCCCTTCACGCATCGCATCTTTGGAGCGCAGCATCCGGAACCTGGCCCTCCAGCACGTATACGAATAGCTCAATGTGCAACAGCATAGTCTCGGACGAACAAGCCGACAACAAGTTGTATTGGGAAGGTTCCTCCTAGCCCATCGCCTAGGACCATGCAGCTTTAGTCGAAGCTACCTTAAGTACGGAGTAGGCAGTGGCAGGCCAACAGCAAATCCCGGGACGGCGTAGCAACGCATGTCCAGTGTAGGCTTCGTAGACGGCCTCATCTTCCGATTAGCTCGCGAGTGTTCGAGTCAACTCGCTGAGGAGGAGTTGCTCGGCAAAGCTTCGAGCAAAATTGCACGAAGTGCCCATCGAGGTCCAGAGCTTTAAAAACAGGTGTGGAGGGGATGGAGAATCGATCGATGGCTCCCCCCTCCGTAATAGCGTCGGCGCTGGCGCAGGCGCATACACTTGCATGTTCTACACGAGTCGCGCGATCTTTTCGTCTAGTGTACAATGTCAATGTGTGCCTGGCCGTCATGGTTCTCTGATGATGTGTCTGGCTCCTGTCAAGGAATGGCTCAATGCTTGCCGGGCAGTGTCCGGTGTCCGCCGTGGCTGGCATTGTTCCTGCGGGCGGGTCAGCTTTCTTCCTGCAACCACCTCAAAAGTGACAATAGGCAAGTGATGTCGAGGATGGATTGTCGATGGGCGGAAAACCCGTAACGGCGGTAGGGGAGGCCCATTTGGGAATTGGGCGAGGAATTTGACCGAAAGTACCGAGGGTCACCTTGCGACCCCGGAGAAGAAGTGGAAGAAGAAGAAGAAGAGGAACATGAAGCCCCGCCCGCTAGAATTTCTCTCGAACTTGGAATTCACCGTGATTGATCCGGAGCCACTCACCGACAGAGGGCACGCCGCATGCCATCATCTGGCAGTCTTCCGGGGCACGCCGACATCGCCGCCGCCGAGGCATCTGTGGAATTTGAGCGAGATTCCCATGACCTTTCCAGCCAGTGACACATGGGAAATTTCCAGTCTGATGACCGGGACTTTGTCTGCTCAAGTGACTCGCCACTGTGTTTTCGAACAGCACTATCATCTATGGAGACCACTCTCCGTACGATTGTGTCAATCAAAAGCTGCATCGGAGACGAGAGCAGACTCAGAACGAAGCGGCATACAGCCGAACACAGGCTATGGATAATACACCGTCCCTTTTAGCTGGGTAGACAGGGATGTCGCGAGAAATTCAGGGTCCATCCACGGCGCCGCAAAGCCGCTCCGCCTGCCCAGCAGAGTGACTGGACGGCCGCTGGACACGGCTGCAGGAGCACTGCAGCTGTCCCCGGCAGCTTTTTCCAAACTACCAAGCGGGCGTCCTTGATGCACTCGCTGTCCACGGTTCAACGTCTCCATGCCCAGTTCAAGAGTGGGAAAGGAAACGAGGAAGAGAGATAGAGGAGAAAAAACCTCATGCAACACTAGCAAATTCTTGCACCATCCACTTTATGCCCCTGTCTCGCCCCGAATGCGCGCCGAGCAGTCTGAGGAGGAGCGGGAAAGCAGACTTGGGAGCAAAGACCCCTTATCTCGCATGGAGAAGCGATAAATTACTCCGAAGATACAGATGGGCGGTGTAGAAAGTTGCGCATCGTGACGGGCATAATCGTACAATCATACGGAACACCAGACGTCTCCATCAAACCTCTCTGATCCAGCCAACCAAACCACCAGCTGCAGCGTAACGGTACCTTTACCGAACTCTTGATCTCAGGCTCAACTTGAAAGTTTGAGAGGGTAGCTACAGCTGACCGTCCCGCGATTCCGCGAAACCGAGGCACACCGCACCGCTCCCACTCGTTCCCCTTTCCCGCAGAGCAGCAAATCACACCAACCACGCACCACGACTTTCCCCCGGAGCTCCCTCTGCATCCCGCAGCTCACCCCCGCCGAGCTCCGTCTACCGGACACTCGACCTCCACACCCCTCGGCTCAATCTCCCCGCGTCATACGAGCTCTCCCCATTCCATCCAATCCCTCCAACCACAACCCGCACCCGGACTCCCGCCCGCCTTCATCACCGACCGAACCGGCCTCGCCGAAGCAAGCCACGCCCCGGCGCCGCCGCCGCCAGCTAGCCATCATGCCGGACAACACTCCGAGAAGCTGGTTCGCCGTCCCGGCCCCCGTCGCCGCCCTCTTCAGACGCTTCCCCCTCGCCGTCTACCCTGCCAACGACCTCCCCCACCGCAGCCCTTCCCGCGGCGATACGCCGACACTATACGTCTTCGTCGCGGAAGACGATGCCCCGAGGGGCCGACCGAGCTTCAACCCCTCGTGTCTAAAGTGGCAGGTTCGCTTGATACCTTCTCACCGTTGCAAATATGTTCTCCGTATCGCGCGCGCATCCAGACTAACCTCCCCGATCTTAACCCTAGACCTTTCTCAAAATAGCCGGCGTAGACTTCCACATCGCCCCCTCAACAAACCACGCCTCCCCCTCCGGCGCACTCCCCTACCTCCTCCCGCCCTCCCCGCTCCGTCCCATCGCCGGCGCCTCGAAACTCGAATCCTACGCCCTAGAAAACACGACCCTCAAAAGGCTACCCGTGCTATCCTCCTCCTTCTCGTCCTCGTCCTCCCCCGAGGCAGAGCTCCACGCCCGCCAGCAAGCTTACCAGTCCCTCCTCGACCACCGCCTCCGCGCAGCCTGGCTCCACGCCCTCTACCTCGCCCCCGCGAACGCGGACCTCCTGTCGAGGCTCTACATCGAACCGGCGTCCAATAACCCGGTCGTCAGGCTGACACTCGCGCACCAGGTCCGCGCGGCCGCCGAGGCTGAGGTGCTGAAGGTGACAAGGAGCGCCGTAGTTGATGTGAAGAGGGTACACGCCGACGCGCGCGCCGCGTTCGAGGCCCTTGCCGCGTTGCTGGAGGAGAGTAGGAGTGGCAGGAGCGCCGGGGCGGCCGCGGCAGAAAAGGGAGGAGAGGGTGGTGGTGGTGAGTGGTTCTTTGGCTGCGAGGGCCCGACGCTCTTTGATGCGTCCGTATTTTCGTATACGCAACTGCTGCTCGATGAGGAGTTTGGGTGGGTGGATGCTTCGTTGTCGGAGATTTTGCGGGAGTTCCCTTCTCTTGTGAGGCATCGCGAGAGGTTGTTGGAGAGGTGCTTCCCTGATAGCGACGAGGGGGTCCTGGTATGATAAAGCAAAGTGAAAGGGGGCTGTACAGCCAGGACGAAAGGGAAATGGAGTTAGAATGGAGTTGGGAAGCTACTAGCTCATTCATCGTATAAGACGATCGGAATAGACATCCGCCTATAAGTGACGGGATAATATACCATCAGCATGGCACGGCAGGTCACCGAGGTACAACATAGAGTTACCTAAAGGCGGCTTGCCAGCATTTGCGCTTCTCATCTTACAATTACGATACTACCGTCCCTTTCCGTGCTCCTCTTCGTGATACTTACCATTTCGACATTACACGTATAAAGCAAGGCGTGTCTGAACGAGGCATCATTTCTAGGTTAGTGCCGTCTTGGAACCGGACAAGACGTTGACATCTCTCTCGACCGACATTTGACCTGAGCGGATTGACGTTGAATCATTGAATATGGATGTGAGAGTTGGTCTCTACATCAGATCTGAATTCTAGAGCACGTGCGGTTGAATGTTTGTTTAGAATCTAGGTTAGGTGAACCCCTTTTCTCAAGCTTACTAGGCTGTGTTGCTGGCTCACGGTGACCCCATAGTAAGTTTTATCAAGTTTAGCCATACCGCCTGGTTGGGTCACAAGAGCCTCCAAGGTACGTGCTAGGCAAGGAACCATCTCAACTTGGCCAGTATGGCCCGTTGTCTCTCGTAAACATTGAGACGCTACGTGAAATCACAAAGCTTTTCCTAGAGGGGGGGTAACCCAGCATGTCGTGGGTGCTGGCTGTTTCGAGGGCAGACGCGGTTTGCCAACCTTTGAATAATGACATATGGGCCAAGTTCCTTGACAGTTATCTAGCAGAGTAAGTTGTCAATGGCATGCTAGAGATGTAAGGTGCAGAATGAACTTTTCTTCTTCTATTTGTTCACGCTCAAGTTGTCAGCTCTTGGCTTGTCGATACCAATAGGGAAGCAAGAGCACGACAGAACACCAAGCTGTGTTGGAGATGAATCAATATGCCCTACGAGGCTTCTCCATCAGTCGTCCAAGTACAATGGGTCAAGTTCGCAACAAGTCTGGGAGACGAGGATATGATTAGAAGACCAGGAGTTGGTATGAATATCGTCCCCCATCGTCGAGCATCAAGTCTTGGCCATGAATGAATGTCACGGGATATCGTGAGATAAGGTTGGAACTACAAACGTGTGGCAGTCACGTTTTGTTTTGCGGGTTTCATTTGCCTAGATGGGCAAACGTTCTCAAATAGTAGCGTGTAAGCAAGAGTCTGTGTCTTGATCAACTCTTAGAACTTATCATCTGTCATATCTCCGCTTGGTAGCAGCGCCCTTTAACTGGAAGTTTGTTATAAACCGGGTTCATCTCAGTGCCATAAGTGATCTGTAAAGATTATGAAACACAGAAAATCAGAGACAGAGAAAGCACTGCGGGTTGGTTCGTTGTGGATTATAAACGAGCAGCATGTATCGGCTATAATTTCCCGGTGACAATCAAATCCTACTTAAGTTCTTGGTCGCTGGATTCCCTTGACACAGAGATGAGATCATGGCAACATGTTTGAACGAGACTGTATGCTATATTAAACTGCCGGCACCAGTTGGCATTTCAGGCTAAGATAGACAGGCGGGAATTATTTTACCGCGGTCAATAAGTCCTTTCCATCAGAGAGATCAAGTAGACTTTGAAATGTAATCAGAGAAGTGATTATGGCACACCCAATCAAAGAGAGTGAGATTGCATTGAATCGATGTGGGATGCGTTGTCTCTTTACTAGTAAACTTTGTCGTGGCCGTCTGTCTGCCTACATGTCGGACTGACCCGCCACAGCAACAAACTGACGGCCAAAACCGAGGAAAACGAGGGAACGGGGAAGGAATTGACAAAAGAGAGAAAAAAGAAGTAATGGATACTCAAAAAGCAAAAGAAATGATCAGTGGGAGGCTTGAACTCCCGGCCTTGGCATTACACAACATTTCAGGTGAAATATTAGTACCACGCTCTAACCAACTGAGCTAACCGACCAGTTGTTATTGAGAACCTACGCGGAGTTTGCGGCTTATGTAGGGCCGAGCGTTGCCGAGCGGCCCACCACGCGCCGAATCCCCCGAATCGGATGGGACGAGAGGAAGAGGAAGAGGAAGAGGAGGAGGATGAAGCCAAAAGAATGGCTTGATACAAAGTGGGGGAATCTCAAGTTCGTATTCTGCATCACTTCTTAACCATGTGGCAGCCATGTCAGAAGCCCAATTGTTGGATGAGGCTCGGCCGGCAAGGCTTGGGCCAGGATGAGGAGGAACTGACAGGAACGAACGAACGAACGGCTTTTGACCACAACGCCGTGTTTCCACGGGCACCTGCGTCGGGATGATTTCCCTGTCCGACTCCCGGTCATGTATGTCTGGCGGACCCGGCAATTGCACCGGGCCGTGAGACACACTTTCGCAGTTTTACAATGAGTTGAGGTGAAAGGGCGACTGGCAAACAGCGGAATATCGACCCAACCTCAGAAGACTCGGAGTTCACAAGAGAGCTCGTAATTGATGATGGCCCGGCAACATTCCGCGCTGCTCAGGTGTTTAAGCGACGCCCCCGCGAAACGATCCATCGCTGGGGGCTGAATATAGCCCCAGGCATGCATACTAATAATAATAGCCGCAGCGAGAGAGAGGCAGCCCCAAGACCTCTGTGTCTCTCGGTCTTGCTCAGCCAGTCACCTTGGAAGGTCAGCTGCATGCAGCCCGTTGCTGCAAGAACGCGTCAGATCAGGTCCGGCGGCTCGGGGTGCTGGGTGTGCTGGATGTGCTGGATGGATGGGAGGGGCGTTCATGACTATCGATTTGTCCTGCAGGGCCTGCAGGTTGATGGAAGCAAATGTTGGCTCCCCAGCTTCGTACTTTGTACACACAGCAAGATACCTACCCTACTCCGTACACAGTCACACAGCCTACAGGAGTTTGTAAGCTGCGCTCCCATGTGTTCAGAGTTCCGCGCAATGGGATTGGGAGGGAAGTTCTATCCCCCACCGTCAGTGCGACGCTTAATCTGGACGAGGGACGGAGCACAGGCACAACCAGAGGCATGCCATCCGAAGTTGTGGGAACATGGCCGCTGCAACCCTTGAACCGGCAGGCCGTTCGCTCGGAGGTAACCCCTCCTGCATTTCGCATTTCCTGGGATTCCAGCTGGAAACGAGATTCCCATCAAGATGCTTTGTGTGCTCTGAGTTGAAGAAGGGGACTTTGGTTGATACATAGTAAGGCAGGCAAGATATGAAACGTCAGAAGCCGCAGCCATAATCGATCGATGATGATGTTGTCTTTAGACCTTGCTGTTTCTGCTTCACGATGGGTGAAGGATCTCTCTGGTTGTCTGACCCGTCATTCCTACTCACCTGGGCGCCTACCCATCTCACGCCATCCATCCAGTCCTCTACTCAGCCTTACCACGCCAATCTTTCCCCTGGAGAGACATTGCCCGTCGTACAGTCCCTGACTTGGCTTACCGTCAAGTTCATACTACTTGCCACCTTAGTTCGCCCGGTGGCAGGTTTAGCGTGGACCCCATGCTGAAAGTGAACTCCTCCTCTGCGGTCTGCGGACTTGCAGACCAGACGTTCATTTCCATTTTGTTCCTTGCGCCTCGTCCAATCGCACCTCCCCCACGAAAGAGCGCGCCCCCGGCAGCCCTACAACTCCTCTCCTCTCCTCTCAGCTGTGCCCCAGCATCTCAATTCCCTTCTCCCCGCCCCTTATTTCTGGCTGGGCAACAAAAAGACTGAGATGCCTGTCTTTGCGTGATTGAATTGGTATTTTCAGCTTTCTCTCGTCTTTCTGTCCCTCTACACTCGTTATCTGTCTTGCTATCGTTCACTCGCTCGCCAGTACTTCCGGCTACCTAACCTTACGTTACGCACTTACACCAATCCTCGCCAACTCGCGAGTCACGGAGGAAGCCCACCTTGACAAGGACAGCAGAAATAACCTCCGATAGCGAAAGACGAGACCGTCCCGATATGAGTACGCCGTGAACAATGACGCACAATAGAGGCTTTGGTGCTTCTTACCAACCTCCAGACGCGCCCGAACAGAGACCACGACTGGCGCATCAGACTTCCAACTTGTCCGACGTTAGCGACTTTGACTGCCCTTCTTACAACGGCCACTCGGCAACAATTCGTGGGAGGGATTCCCTGGTCTCGCTCCAGTCCTACTCTAATCACACTTCGCCGTCACCGCACGAATCAGACCAACTTCATCGTCGACCCTCGACGACTTCCACCTGGACCGCATCCTTTTCGTACACTGGTGCTGCTGGTTATGCGTCTCTGCCTCCGTCTTCCGGCCCTAACATCCCAAGAACGCCTTCGCACTTGAGCCGGAACGTTGGTCGCGCAACCTCGCGCCGCGGTCACGAGACCATCTCCGAGGAAGAGCATGATCTCTCCCTCCTGCGCTCCGCCGCACCCATAGGCCAGTCGTCGCGGTACGAGTCGGTGCCGGACAACGAACCCATTTTCGATGTAACTGCTGCACTTGGCCCGATGGGCTATCAAGACGATGCGTTCCTCAAAAGATTGCAGGAGCAGGAGGCGAGCGGTCATCTCACCGGTGGTCTCGGGGCCGGGTTCAGGCCAGACACCACGATCAAGGGCGAGGACCTGCTTTCGTCGTCCCCGTTGCCCAAGAGGTCCTCCCTCACGCGGTCCTTCTCTCGTCGCCAGAAGCTGGGCCGAGCAGCCACCATCAAGGACCGCGGTCAGGATGAGGCCAACAAGAGGGGGAAGGTTATTGAGGTCATTATTGAAGATACCCCGGAGGAGACTGCTCGGCGGCAGGTAGACCAAGTTGATCTCAGCGTCGTTGCGGGACCAAGCATCATGGGCGACGATGCAAGTATACGGCATGCAACGTTTCCCGTCAACAGGAGCCAGAGGACACAAGTCTTTTATCCGCAGCCTAACTGGAAGCCCTTTTCGATGAGATGGCCGTATCTCACCGCCTTGATCGTTCTGTCGGTTGCCCTCGCCGTC